CCCAATGTTTACATTCACCTAGTTATTATTATTTATTTTTGTACTTGCAGTGGCTGATGTCAGTCCTTCACACTGATTAGTAACATCAAGTAGAAAGTCAGCAGGATTGTCATGCTCCTCACAAAAATACCCTAAAAACCGAAAACAACATTAACATAATATTACGTATCTGAACATGTACATGTACATGTACAGTGTAGCCTCTATATAATGGATACTTTGGTATAAGACAATTACTCTGTTATACAGAGGTGTCCTTTATGTGGAGGTTATTTTATACAGTAAGGAATGTACATGTACTAATGTAATTGTTAAATGAAGGTGTACGCCATAGAGAGAGTCCATTAAGAGAGACTATACTGTATTTTCTTACCAAGGTTAGTAAAATATGGAAGTGTCTCCTTTATTGCTCCATGATAGACCATGTTCCCCTGGGAGAGAAGAGTGAGAGAGTCAAACTGTTTGTAAATGGAATATCTCGGCTGGTGGATGGACATGACAATAATCCTCTCACTGTTCCTTGACAAACTAATGAAATAAATAAATAAATAAATAAATAAATAAATAAATAAATAAATAATACATGATTAAATACATACATAAATAGATAAATAAATACCATAATTTTCGAGGGCTATTAATTGCAAAAATTTGCCTAAAAACTTATTGATTTTTGCAAATTTTATTTTCACAAATTTATGTCACCTACCATCTTTTACCATAGTAATTCGATTTTCACGGAAGTAATTTTTGAGAATCTTCAAAAATTCCCGAAATCTGAAAAATTTACAGCCCTCATAAATTTTGCATTATACAGTACATGATTCAATAAATTTAATAAGTAAATAAATAAATACTAATCTTAATACTGTATAATAATTAATTTTACTTCCTAAGCAGCTGTACTACAGCTACAGCAGTGAATGCATCCAGTCCAGTGGTTGGTTCATCAAGGAACAATACTTGTGGTTCTATTATCAGCTCCATACCAATGTTAGTCCTCTTCCTCTCTCTTCCACTAACACTACGAATGAACTCAGTACCAACCTGTATACATGTACGTACATGTGGAGTTTATAATAAATACTATACAAGATGATTTATTGGTGAGAGTAATATTTGGCGAATTTTCCTGTAGAAAGTTATTGGCAAATTGTATATAGGCAATT